GGCCGAGTCTCCAAGGCTTGGGCTCCTGAGTATATGAAGTAGAGCATCCTATCAACCCTCACAGAACATGTGACACGAGTGAGGAATGAACTTGCATTAAGCCAGGGAGAACACATCCTGGTCCTACATGTGAAGCCTGCTATGTTATAAATGAGTTAAAATACAATTGCTAGAGTTGACTTTAATCTCTCTCTCCTAAGGAGTTTCAATGTTTTATAAAATAATAAATAAGCCAAAGTAAATAAAGTAAAGCCTTTATGTCTATCTAAAATTGATAGAAAATACAAATACAGTTTACTATTTATACACAGTCTGGAGAAGAACTAATTTTATTTTACCACTCATGTGTCAGAAACTGTTTAAACATTGACCAACATCCAATTTAATCATGACAATATTAAGTAGGTATTATTTTCCCCTATTTTTCTCAGACATGGGTAGGTTTAGGTGATTTCTTTGAGGTCAAAAATACATCAAGTAGTATAACTTAAATTAAAATAGATGTCCATCTATTTTCAAATTGTTTGCTCTTATATAACATACCATCCTTTACAAAGTAAAGAATACTATACTTTTAATCAAATATTTATTGAGATGCTAACATGGGCTAGGAGTTGTGCCAGTCAAAAACATATAATGAAGCCAGCTAGATTTAAATACTATCATTTTACTAGTCATTGTTTGTTTTAAAAAATGTGATACAAGGAAAGAAATGTAAATTCTGTATATATTTACATATACATACACACACATACCCATTTAAATACAAATAAAAATGTCCATATAATTTTTAAAGGAAATATTCCATCTGAATGACAATCTGATCTTGGCAGACAAATATAACTGGGGAATATTCCAGGAAGAAAATCTACTATAGAGCATTCCATTGACCCTAAACACTGAATTAATGCCATAGCTAATCCATTTAAATAACACACCTGGTGTCCTCTGACTGCTTATTCAAAAGAGGTACCAGGGGGGAATAACTGGAGGCCAGCGTAATATGCTACTTGTGTGGTCCTTTGTTAGATGTGAGGTTTATTGTAATTCCTTAACAAGTTTACGCCATTTGAGCATTTCTAAAACTACCCTTATCCTGTAGAAAATGCATTAGTAGGTTCTGGCAACCAAAGTAACTATCTACAACCAGAAATATTTCTGCTAGTCTCAGAATCTCAATATAATCATGTGGTTGGGTACACTCCCTTCTCTACTTGGGAGATGATCTAAGAACAGTTTATCCAAATTTACTTAATGGAAACACCTCAGGGGATGAGCTACATCCCATGATCACACTGATAATCCTAGACTAATAGCAACAGTCTCTACCCACTAAGCATAATGGGTACTGACAATTATTTAATGTCTTTGCAACAAAGTTTCCCTTAAAGAGCAGAGCACACAATCTGGCCTGAGAGTTTATGCAGTTATGTTCAAATAGCCTAGGTATAATTGAGCTGTCCGAATGGAAAATTTACACTTCTTCTCAGAAATAAGACCCAGGATTTCTAGCTTCCCTACAGAGACAAATTTAGGGGCCTCAAACAACTGTCTCTTTTGTTTGTAATAATAACTTGGGGTCCATTTCAGTTACTTATTTTTGGCAAGTTTTCACCTGCATCAGAGGCAACCTAAAACATCCAGGTTACTTACATGAATTATACTGATGAGTTGACTCATTGTCTTTGTTCAATTAAAGTGTTTGAATAAATCACAGAAAAGTAATCACCAGGGCTTCATAGGGAAACCACAGAAGAAAAGCAATCGCCACGCTTAGAGTCAAATCATGAGCATAATAAAGCGTTCTGTGCCAGTACATCAACTGTGATCCAAACTAAACCAAAGTTTCTGCCTGCTTCCCTGGATATCATCAGAATAAGTGAATTCATTTTTATTCAGGAATATTTATATAGTTCTTTCCCAGGCACTATGGCATATACTTGTGACAAAGTCTGGTCTACAGCAAAACTGGAAGCCAAAAACAGAAATAAATATGACATAATGGGGAAAAATTATGCAAAAGGGAGGTGCCAAAAAATTGCAATAGAAAGCCAGAGGGAAAAGAGTATATTCTGGATGAGAAAAGTTTTGATACAAGTGTTACCATTTGAGCTGAGCCTTGTTGGGAGTTATGAATCAGACATAAAATAAGCAAAGAAGAATGTTCTAGAAAGAAGCAACAGCTTGAGAGAAAGCACAGACCAAGAGAATGTGGTAAGAGAAGATGAGAGACATTGCAAAAGTATATTTGATTAGAGTAGAAAGGCACATGGTGGAAGATAACCAAAAAGACTGGTTGAGGCTCAATTTGGTGCTCCTTGAATACCATGCTACGGTCAAATAAGAGATGGGCTGTGTTCTTCACATGAGATTAAAACTGTTATGTGAAACATTCAAAAAAGCTGTTAGTAATTCCAGTGATAGAGCAGACACTTTCCAGGTAGCAGAGCGCATGACAGATGGCACCAGGGATGTGCTGTCTAATCTCAGACGTTTCTCCTCTTGAGAAAACATACATGTAAAATGTTAGCCTTCATTAGCCATCTGAAAGGGAGATCCAAAGTCAGCAGCAATATTTATGTCGGTAGATTCAGCTCAATTGCCTTTACGCCAACCTGACACATTATTTCGGTATTTCATTCAGGAGCAAAATAAGTTCATTGTCTTTACTCGCATTGTAATTCTCATCCTTTGTTTAGATATCACTAATTGTACACCAGATATTGTGTAACATCAGGACCAGAAGCTTCTTTGATGATGATTAGATATGAATTTAAAATACTATCATAATAGATAGTGTCTTTTTAATTACAGGAGACCAAGTTTAGAGACTTGTCTAAACAGTGTTCCTATCATCTTATCTCCTTCCTCACTCACCGATTAATCCTCAGTGACTCTCTGTTCTAATGATCAATTAAGATGTACTCAGTGCCCATTAAGTATCATGGAACACGGCCAGAACCAGACACTCAGAAAAGGTTTATTGAATGGATGACTGGATGAATAGGTGTGTCAGGCACAAGGAAAAACATCAGATATGTAAAATATCGCCCTTCTAGGCAAGAGTTTTATTAGAGGAAATACCACTGGTAGCAATCCAAATCACCTATAAAATGGGTTCAAATACTTCACAATCAGTTGCTAATTATACAGAAGAATGGTATCACTTGTACGCATCTCAAAGTCAATAACAGACAACTTAACGTCACTCGTCAGAGAGCAAGAACAGATTACCTTAGTGAACTTGCTAGCTCAAGACTGCTGACTTAGAACATGCTTAAATTAAAATGTTTGGAGGATACAGAGACTCAGAACTTCTTATACTCCTTTCCACTGTGGTCACAGAAAGTCAGACTCAATCTAGTTATATTTGAGGCAAGTTGGTCAAAATATGTGTAATGTCAAATTTGGCCATATTTATTTAAACTATAACAGTGAACCACTTCATTATTGACTATCTGATGCACTCAGGAAGGACTGAGCAACTGCTTTGTGCAAGGAACTGGGGGATAACACAGGCAGATGGGACTGTTTGTGATCCATTCAATAAAAGTTACGAATTTTATTTCACATAGCCTTTTTACTTAAACCCTTATTCCATATTATTCATGTTAAAATATCCATATTACTGTTCTATTTTCCTTATAAGACTGAGAGTTGTGAGGAAAAGAAACACTGATATTCTAGGACTTAAATGGAGTTACAGTGAATACTTTTATTCTTTAATTTTATAAAGTTAAGTATTTCTTAAAAAAAACTGGAATGCAAAATTTCTACGGTATAACACCTCCATGTACTTTCACAGCAGCTATCTAATTTGAAATGAGCCAACTGATCTCATTTTCTTTTCTTTCTTCATGTAGGGAAGTTGAGACAGTGAAAGAGTAAACGATGCAAGGGGAATCCTCATTTGAGTTGTCCCAGTATTCCAGAGTAAACTGTTTATCTGGGAGTTAAAAGGGATTCTAACGGAAGAGGGAAAGTAATACACGCAGCACATGAAGGGTGTGCCTTTAAGCCTGCTCTCCCTGTAGACACTGGCATTTATTCCTGCAGGGGCTGAAAGCTGCGCTAGAGGGGTTTAATTCTCTAGCTGAACAGCCTTCTCCTGTTCTATCTTTAAAAAAAAAAAAAGCTTCTCAGACACACAGAAATGCAGATCCTAGGGCTGGAAGTAGGCCAGAGCATACTGAAATTTCTGAGAAATATGGGCAAGCCATGCACAGCATCTACTAGGGAGGGTCCCACATATAATTTGCAACAGGACTAGATCTCAGATTTATGGTATCCTGAATTTCGAAGGCAAACACGTTCTTTCCTCCACATTGCCAAAATACAATGCTTTCTTAGTATGAACATATACTACTTACTGTGACTCTAGGATACAAATACCATTTTGTGTTCAAGCGCACAATGAATGTAGGTCTACTAAACACCAATAACCAGCAATGTTTGAGTGCTTATTTTGTAACAGGAACTATGTCAAATACTTCGTTTGTATCATCTTCATTTAATCCTCAGAACACTTCTATGAAGGAAAGGACTATTATTGCCATCCTATATTAAAGAGGTGGAAAGAAAATCAAGAAAAGCTATAGTCTAAGGGATTGCCTTTTAAGTGGTGGTGTTGAGATTCAAACCCAGGGCAGTTCCACACTGGGGCCTATGTCCCTAAACATCATTCTCTACTGGCTCCATCTCTGATTGTTTTGGAGGCAGACAGTGGCTAATATAATCAATCTACAGATTCGATGATAGGAAAACTACCTGAGCATTTTAAATCTATTTATGGTGGTACCGATCCCTTTCATAGTCATCAAAACCAAACACTATCAATTCACATGGTCAAGACAGCTCCGAAGAATGCAACATGTCTATTGATTTTTAGCAAAAGCATTCTCCATGATCATTAGAGAAGATATAAATAAACTATTATATACATTTTATAAAACATGCCAACATCAAAATAAAACAGCAGATACTCTGTAAAATAACAGTACCTTCACTGTCCATATTCCAGCCTCTGGCTCTTTAACATTCACCACCTTGGCAGAGTTATGAATATTTAATAGCTCATTCAGGCCAAATCCCTTTTTTATCAGCTTTCCTGAAAGACAGACATAGAGGTTACAAGCATAATCTTTATTTCAGCTATGTATATCAGCTGTGTACATTTCCAGTACAAATTACCTGATGGACATTTACACCTCTAGCTCAAAACATCGTTTTATATCTAAAACATACTCAACTTTAGCATTTCTGAACACTGTAATTGAAGTAACAGATTCCTATTTGCTATGTTGATGTGATCTTAAAAACAGAGTAACATGGAAGACGATAATCATATTTCCAAAATTAATCTAGGTAACTATTATTATGGCTACAAAGAAGTTATGTACAATCACTAGAGACATTTAGACTTAAGAGATGGCAAAACAGTAAACCAGAATAAATATCTTTTTGGAGATGACTCAAAATATTACTAACATTAACAGCCCTGGGCATAACTTTGCAGAAAGTATAAAACCTCAGTTTTCCATGAAGTGCAGGAGAAAGCTTTCACTTGTCAAAGGAAGAATTAGAGGAGACAGTATAATGAAGTAACACAGTATCATCTCCAACTGAGATCAATATACAGTATCTGACAGTTGGAACTTAGGAAGGAAAGCAAATTTGAAATTAAGCCATAGTTTACTTATTCACTTCAGTCTTGGCTCTTGTGTGGACTATTTCCGCAGTTATGCAAACAAATCAATTAAAAGAAGCCCATGTTTGCATCAGAAGTTTTATAATCACTGCAAAAGACTTTTAAAATATCAATGTCAATGAATTTTTAAAGTAGTAGCACTTAAGGCAATGGTTACAGGTACTTTCAATCCAGATAATGAACAATACAAATCTTTCCTGTGTAGATAGGATAGATAGTACTAGAAGAACGCTACCTAAAAAGACAAATCCATTTCTACAAACAAATCTATTTTCAAGACCAAACAGTCTCAAAAAATTGGTTTTGCTCGCTCATAAATTTAAATTTGATTGTTAAGTTGGAGCCTTAGAGGTCAATTTCATACACTATTTTCTCTAAGGTATGTCATTTTCTAAGATTAAAATAAAGTAAAAAAGGTAGTTACTCCTTCCCAATTTATAAATGTTCACAAAGGTTTAAAAAATGTAACATATAAAAATAAATGAATAAAAAATGTAACATATACTTCAGCTACAATAGTAATAAAAATATTGTGCAAACATTATTGGTTAAAAAATTTCCTAAACATAAATATTAAGAAAAATTAGGTTTCTTTTTTTTTTTCATTTATTTTTATTAGTTGGAGTGGTTTTTCTTTTTTTTTTTTAAGATTACTATTCAATTCAATCTTAAGTCTTGCAAATTCAACCAGAGATGGAATTAAGCCAAAACTGAGAATCATACCATATAATTATTGAAGGAACAAATTAAAACATTATTCTAATGAGAATATAAATTTGTTTTTTAACAACTGTCTCCTGTAAAATTACACAAGCCCCTTTGCCATGACAAGGCTGTGATCCATGAAGTTTCATAGTGGAAAGTTCTCACAAAATTTGGTCCACTGGAGGAAGGAATCATAAACCAGTTCAGTATTTTTGCCTCGAGAACCCAACAGAGTATAAAAAGACAAAAAGACACCGGAAGACAAGCCTCCCAGGTTAGAAGGTGTGCAATATGCTTCTGAGGATAAGGGAACATCTGATGCAACGATGGGCGTGATAAAAGACAGAAACAGTAAGGACCTAACAGAAGCAGCAGAGATTAAGAAGAGGTGGCAAGAATACACAGAAGAATTATACAAAAAAGGTTTTAATGACCTGTATAAACACGGTGGTGTGATCACTCACTTAGAGCCAGACATCCTGGAGTGTGAAGTCAAATGGGCCTCAGGAAGCATTACCACTAACAAAGCTAGTGGAGATGATGGAATTCCAGCTGAGCTGTTTCAAATCCTAAAAGATGATGCTATAAAAGGGCTGCACTCAATATGCCAGCAAATTTGGAAAATTCAGCAGTGGCCACAGGATTGGAAAAGGTCACTTTTCATTGCAATCCCAAAGAAGGGCAATGCCAAAGAATATTCAAACTACTGCACAATTGTGCTCATTTCACATGCTAGCGAGGTAATGCTCAAAATCTTTCAAGCTAATCTTCCATAGTAGGTGAACAGAGAACTTTCATATATACAAGCTGGACTTAGAACAGGCAGAGGAAACAGAGATCAAATTGCCAACATTCATTGGATCATAGAGAAAGCAAGGGAATTCCAGAAAAACATCTACTTCTGCTTCATTGACTACACTAAAGCCTTTGACTGTGTGGATCACAACAAACTGGACAATTCTTAAAGAGATGGGAATAGCAGAGTTTACTTGTCTCCTGAGAAACTGTCTCCTGAAGAGCAGCTAAAGAGTCTCCTGATGAGGGTGAAAGGAAAGAATGAAAAAAGCTGGCTTAAGCTCACATTCAAAAAACTAAAATCATGGCATCCAGTCCACTTCATGACAAACAAAGGGGGAAAAAGTGGAAGTAGTGACAGATTTTATTTTCTTGGGCTCCAAAATCACTGTGGACAGTGACTGCAGCCATGAAATTAAAAGACGCTTGCTCCTTGGAAGGAAAGCTATGACAACCTATACAGCATATTGAAGAGCAGAGACCTCACATTGACGACAAAAGTACATACAGTCAAAGTTATGGTTTTCCAGTAAATATGCACAGATGTGAGAGTTGGACCATAAAGAAGGCTGAGCACCAAAGAACTCATGCTTTCAAATTGTGGTGCTGGAGAAGATTCTTGAGAGTCCACTGGAATGCAAGGCTGAAAAATAAGTCGATCCTAAAGGAAATCAACCCTGAATATTCATTGGAAGGACTGACGCTGAAGCTCCTATCCTTTGGCCACCTGATGTGAAGAGCCGACTCATTGGAAAAGACCCTGATGCTGGGAAAGATTGAGAGCAGGAGGAGAAGGGGATGACAGAGGATGAGATGGTTGGATAGTATCACTGGGATAGTATCACTGAGGCAATGAACTTGAGTTTGAGCAAACCCTGGTAGATAGTGAAGAATAGGAAAGCCTGGTGGTAAACTGCAGTCCATGGGGTTGCAAAAAGTTGGCCACAACTTAGTGACTGAACAAGAACAACCTGTAAAATTAAAATTTATCAAGAAAATGCTATGATAAAAAATTAGACAGTTGTTTTAGTAATAAAGGACTTTTTTCATATGATTCACGTAAAAATGACAAAACACTGAATTCTACAGAATAAGTTACTGTGAAGTATTTCCTCATATAAAGATGAAGAAAATATTTCAGGTTCATCTGAAATTTTTTTTGGAGACTTCAGTTACAATTAAGTTAGTAAATGCCATCTGTTTAAATTATTAGGAGTTTCAGTTTTTCGAATCTCATGTTAACTCAATGATACTTATGACTAAAAATACTGAGTTTTAAAAAAAAAAAAATACTGAGTTTTAATTTTTAAACATCTTTTCCAATCACTTTTGAGTCGGTTGAATTTATTCATAAAGTTAGCATTAATTTGAACAAGTAAGTGTGTTAAAAATCTTTTACCTTTCATGGTTTTCCTATTTTTTTTCATATTCTATATTTTTAAATATTTTTAATATGAATAGTCCATATATCTCACCTAAAGGATTGCGAATTTCAATCATTGGAGAAGGGCCACTCAGAGACACAGTAACCTCTTTTAGACTGGGATCAAAGGGAATTTTCCAAGTATTTACAGCCTGTTCCAAATGATCTGTTGATAAGAGGTGAACTTTGGAAGCCTGCACTGCTTCTTCCACCCATTTTAAAACCTATAAGAGAAAGAGAAATATGAGTGATATCAAAATATTTACAGCTTTATACCACCTCGAATTGCTGAAGCAGTAGCTGATTTGCTTAATGAAATGACATGGTCGCTTTCTGTACTGTATGAGGCTTATTTCCATCACAATCAAGACAAACTTTCTCAATCCACAGAACAGGAAAAATGCACTCCCCAGGGGATTAGTCTCCAAAAGTTTCAAACAGCTCATGCAACTCAATATATAAAAATAAATAAATAAATAAATAACTCAATTGAAAAATGCACAAAATACCTGAATAAACATTTTTGCAAAGAAGACATACAGATGGCCAAGAGGCACATGAAAAGAGGCATATGCTCAACAATGCTAACTATTTGAGGAACACAAATCAAAACCACCATGAGATATCACCTCATACCAGTCAAAATGGCCATCATCAAAAAAATCTATAAACAATTAATGCTGGAGTGGATGTGGAGAAAAGCGAACCCTCCTACACTGTTGGTGGGAATGTAAATTGGTACAGCCACTATGGAGAACAGTATGGAGGTTTCTTAAAAAGAATCCCACTCCTGGGTATATATCCACAGAAAAACATGGTTTGAAAGGATAGACACACCCCAATGTTAAATGCACCATTATTTACAATAGCTAAGACATGAAAATGTCCATCAACAGAAGATGTGGTAAAAACACAGCCATAAAAAAGAATGAAATAATACCATTTGCAGTAACACAGACGGACATGGAGATTATCATACTAAGTGAAGTATGTCAGAGAAAGACAAATATCATATGATATGACTTATATGTGGAATCTCTAAAAAAATGATACAAATGAACTTATTTATAAAACAGAAACATATTTAATACTTAGAGAATGAATTTATGGTTACCTGGGGGCAGGGGGAAAAGAGGAAGGAACAGATGAGAGTTTGGAATTGATATGTACACATTGCTATATTTTTTTTAAAGCCTAACTCTCCCTATATCCACTTATTATAGCAGGTTCAGAATAAAATATTAGTTTAACCCATGCTCAAATTTCAAATTTTATATCTTGGAGTAATATATTCAAAATGAGATTACGATGTCCAAAAACTAGTTGTGCAAGATATTTCATGCATAGGTACTACAGACAGTTCCATTCCTCAACAGAAATGAAAAGAATCTACAGAAAACTAGGTAATGGCAATACTGAGATTCTTCTTCCCTCTATTCTTTCTTTCTCAGTTTTTTTCAAAGTTCAATTAATAAAAGAGAATTAGCAAATTATCAAATCCAATTTCAATATATTGAGTACTGAATTATTGTAATAGAGTACACTATAGTATATTAATTATTGAAAAATAATTGCAATGCCAGCAAAATATTCATTTTTATGACAAAAAATAACAAAAAAATAATGGGAAAAATAACCATTATGTTTTTTAAAGTGGAAAAATACTTCAGGTTAGAACTAAGTTAAGGTGTGCTCTTGAAGGAAGCCTTCTAGTCCACAGAAATGCTCCGCAACAGCAAACACAATTCCTCATTTTACAGGGCATGTCTGGACAGGTACTGCTTAGCTGAACTTACTACCATTACTCCTAGATCATATTAAGCTTTAATCTACCTAAGATCTTCCTCTGGTTCATTTATCCTTCAAGATGGTATTCCATCATGAACAATTTCCCTCATAATTACTCATTAAACACTGAACAGTACTGGGTATTAAGCTACACCAAGCTACTCCAACAACAGTATTTTTAAAATTTCAATAATGGTAGTCACAAACCAATGAATCAAACAAAAGTATTGTGTAATAATTTCAATCTCTGTCAAAAGGATCCCCATCTTTTTTTTTTTGGTCCCCAAGAATGAGGAAAGTGGCTAAGACATTATCATAAAATTAACAGTGTGAGGCAATTATGTTTATTCATTAAATAAATGTTCATTGTTCAAAGAACTCTTGTAGGTACTGAGTACTGATAAAAGTGAATGAAATTGATGAACATGAATGAAATTGATGAAAGTGGAGTTGCTCAGTCATGTCCAACTCTTTGTGACCCCAAGGACTGTAGCCCACCAGGCTCCTCCATCCATGGAATTTTCCACACAAGAATACTGGAGTGGGTTGTCATTTCCTTCTCCAGGGGATCATCCCAACCCAGGGATCAAACCCAGGTCTCCCGCACTGCAGGCAGACTCTTTACCATCTGAACCACAAGAGAAGGAAATGCTGGACTAGAGGAAGCACAAGCTGGGATCAAGATTTCCAGGAGAAATATCAATAACCACAGATATGCAGATGCCACTCTCATGGCAGAAGGAGAAGAGGAACTAAGAGCCTCTTGATGAAAGTGAAAGAGGAGAGTGAAAAAGCTGGCTTAAAACTCAATATTCAAAAATGAACATCAAGGCATCTGGTTCCATCACTTCATGGCAAATAGATGGGGAAACAGTGAGAGACTTTATTTTCTTGGGCACCAAAATCATTGCAGATTAGTGACTGCAGCCACGAAATTTAAAGATGCTTGCTCCCTGGAAGAAAAGCTATGACCAACTTAGACAGTATTTTAAAAAGCAGAGACATTACTTTGCCAACAAAGGACCACATAGTCAAAGCTATGGTTTTTCCAGTAGTCATGTATGGATGTGACAGCAAGACCATAAAGAAAGCTGAGCGCCAAAGAATTGATGCTTTTGAACTGCGGTGTTAGAGAAGACTCTTGAGAGTCCCTTGGACTTCAAGGAGATCAAACCAATCAATCCTAAAGGAAATCAGTTCTGAATATTCATTGGAAGGACTGATGCTGAAGTTCCAATACTTTGACTATCTGATGTGAAGAATGGACTCACTAGAAAAGACCCTGATGCTGGGAAAGGTTGAAGGCAGGAGAAGAAGGGAACGCCAGAGGATGAGATGGTTGGATGTCATCACCAACTTGATGGACATGAGTTTGAGCAAGCTCCGGGAGTTGGTGATGGACAAGGAAGGCTGGCGTGCTTCAGTGCATGGGGTCGCAAAGAGTTGGACATGACTGAGCAACTAAACTGAACTTCTTAAATAAAGAAAGGAATTCATAAAACAGGAAGCCTTTGTTGAAATAACATATGTAAACTGCCCATCATAGTCCTCGCCACACACTGGATAGTCAAATGTTTTCCTCCATCTCCAACTGAATCCCCTTCCCTTCCCTTCCCCTAATTGAAAATTTCAATAATGACTTCATGGGCAAAGTGAGAAAAAAATGTATCCCTGAAAGACAAGATTTCTGTAAATGAAAAACAGACACAAAGTCACTCCAGGTAGAAGAGAAGTTCTGAAAAACATACAGAGACAGAAGTACTCATATGTTGGGAACATGAGTGCATCTAACTGGCTACAGTTAAGTGTTCAGAAAAGCGAGAAGCAGATGAAGTTGGAAGCTTATGTCAAGGGCAGTGTATGTATGGTCACAAAGTCAAGCTATGACAATCGGATTCTATCCTAATGACATAAGTGAAAAGTTTCCGAAGGAATTCCTGCTTTAAGCAGAGAAGTAATACTTTGACAGAAGTATTTTACAAAGAAAAGCTTGTAGTGGTATCATCAACTAACTAAGCACAAAAAAACAAGTCTATCACAGTTAATTACCACATAAATCAAATGATATATTTCGTCAGATGTTAACCATATAAAGCACCTGGGATTTTACATATGAGATAGGTATGTATCGATATCATTACCTAAAGAAGCAGATGCCATATTTTGAAAAATGGGTTCTGAGTGATCTATCATGCATGAACAGGAAGATTGAATCATTCTGCCAATCAAATCGGTCCATGTGGCTATAGAAACCAGAGACTGATTATTGCTCATATTTGACCATAAATAGAACACATATTTTAAAAGTCAGTGTTGACATTTTTATGTCTTCAACATGGATCATGGCCACCTAACTCAAAGGAATGCAAAGAACTGACTTACTCTCTGAGAAAGCACTTGATAAATTTTACTGGTGATAAATAACTTTGAGAATAATGTCTGACTTAGAGACTAAAGAAGGCAAAGACAAGAGAAATCAGATAAATGAAATGAACATTTGTTTTAAGGACAAGACACAAAATGTGGTCATAAATAATTCTCAAAGTAAGAAAGAAAAGAATTAGAAAACAAAGACATTTTAGTATCTCAAGTTCAACAATGAAATGCAATAGTGTTGAGCAGAAATAAAAGTGAAATCGATTTTTAATATAGTACACCTTTCTTTAAATGTGTATTCTGCATGACTCCTCAAATACATCTGTCCTTTGAAACGAGTGTAAAAAGGTTATGGTATATTACTGGAAAATTATACTATTGTCTGTTAGTTATGGATGAAAAGGACTAAGTTCTAGGCATTCCTGCGAAAATGGAAAACTTTCTGATTTAGTTGCCTTTTCATACAGGAACTGTGTTTAAACGGTAGGAAATATAAGTGGGCTTTTGGTTTATTCTTAATACTGTTTCCAATTCATCAACATTTATGAGGCTTTCACAAAGAGATTACCATGTATCATGATATTACTGGTTGGGAAAGATACAGCGCAGACTTCTGTCACAAGTCTCAAATCACTTTTTTATACAATTATAGGAAAAAAATCAAATTGAAGACAGATGCAACCCACTTTATTAGAAAATATAGATATCACCAACATGTGAATAAAAGCAGATTCCTACAAGCTACACAATCACCGAAAGTGAGGTTTCTGGCCTCTAATGTTGCCACATATAAGGAAAAAGAAACAAAACTTTGTCTAACCAAGAGAAATGTTCTTATGAGATTGGAAAGGACCTTAAATAGTAACAATAAAAAGAAGTGAACTAGAATAATGTGAGATCCTGTGAATGAGTATATTTTTGCTAAACCATTGGTTTAATGTTTCAAACCACTGAGGCACTGTGCATTAGTAAAAATAGTCTCTAATGATTTTTAGCAGTTTAAATCTCAAAAGGCCTGTGAGAACATCTAACCCAGCTCCTTTACTTTATAAATGAGGGA